CCCAGAATCCATTGAGCTGACGGCCAAACCCACCCCCTTCCCAAACACCCACCGCACCCCCCCTCCCACCGCTCACGTCAAGATCACCAAACAGCGTCATGGCCACACCACCACCACCACTACTTCAAGCATTCCCAAGGAACTGGACAGCTTCTTGGTGGAGGCACTGCCTCCTCCGAAGGTGGTCGAGGCAGGAAAGTACTCCAGCTCTTTCACCACCCACCGCCCCACCACACTCAACAAACCACCCCGCACCTCATCCCCACCCCTGGACTCCAGCCCTGACTTTGATGAATCGGGCAGTGGAGAGCCCAGTGGGGACGAAGAGATGGTGAGCGGAATGGAGGAGAGCGGAGAAGAGCCACTTGGTAATGCATTCACCATAATCTTTCAGTCATAAGGGGTTTAGGCATAATTGTGAAGAACAAATGACAAGAGATGATGAAATTCTCCCTTGTATGTATTGACCTTACGTGTGAGATGACCTTGACTCGAGTTGTAATGGCATATCAATTTAACACTGCCAATTATCTCAGCGCCCATTATTATTTGAGAGGTTTTGACACCTGACATCCAACCGCTAAGTGAGCGGTTTCATTTGGAATCACTTTGGTGAATAATTCACCAAAATGACTAGCTTCAGTTTTTAACGTGGCCTAACCTTATGAGCAAGCCTCTTCAAAATGACATTTCAGGTTAAGTCGATGCAACCACTGTTCCTTTCTCTCCTCTGAGCTGTTCCTGTACAGTCTGTTTATCAGGAACTGAGCTCAAGACATAGACCTCATGAAATGAATTAACAGTTTTCTTTCCTATGTTGACATATTTCTATTGAAGTAAGAATTTGGGGTGGGACATTTAGAAGGGCTCTTAATTTTTAGCTTTAAGTTTAGTGGTTCTCAAATGGTTTCACTCCGATTGTACTTAGGCAGCCAAACAAATATATGACTTATTTTGTATTTGTTTTATTACATTATTTTTTGATTAATTTTATAAGTATATAAAATTGAAATCTATTTCCATTACATTTCTGTTATATCCTGTTTATATTCTAACTATTTTTGATTATATAATTGGTTACATTATTGGTTTATTGTTGCCAGACCAGTTGAGAACCACAGCTAGTTAACTTGACAGCTCATACCATGGAAGAAAGCAAAAAAGACACTTTCAAAATGAATAATTTCCAGCTGCTACCTACAATTTACAAGTATATTAAATTGTTTATTAAAGAAAATAAAGCATGACGTTAACAGACTCAAATAATCCTTAGTTGCATTACCTGCCTCCAACAAGCAATAGCAAGTAGCTAGAAATAGGAGAAGCTGTAATTCTAAAATTAATTCTAAAAATTTATCATGTTTAGCCCATTTTTACAGATTTTTTAAAATGTGGATCTATTCATTTTGTCAACCTTCTGCACACTAGCACAGAAAACTAACAGACATGGGGCCAGATTTACTAAACAGGGCAAATTGGCATGAGAGCGCAATTCCAAAAAAGTGCAAATGGGAGTGGAAATTTCTGCAGGTGATTTACTGACAATGCGCAAATTAAAGAACACAGATGGAGCCAGATCATTTCCATAATGACCAACACAATCTACCAAGAGCAACGCAAATTAGCGTCTGCTTTAAGACATGCTTTTTGGAGCGTTAAATAATGGCGCAAATACCAGTAATTTGACGAGCGCAAACGTTAGTAAATCCCATTGCGTGATTCATTTTAATACTCTCCTCCCATAAATTTTGCATCTGAAAGGGAAACTCCTACAAATGCATATTCAATAAGGTCAGGTGCAATAATAACTGTGACTATGCCTTTTCAGCACTAATTCTTGACTGCGAGTCTTTAGTAAATCCTGACAGTACTATTTTAACGCCAAAAGATGGTTTGCGCTGGCGCAAGCTGTTAGTAAATCTGGCCCATGGACTCTAATAGCCAAAAAAACTCAAATTTTGTTCTCCACTACAGCCGCCTCTAAAATGATAGCCTCTTGGTTGACATACAAGTGACAAATCCCTCAATCCCTTTACTTGTTTTGTGTCCTTCACCACCACAATACATAAAGTAGACCAGCTATATTTATTCAGCTAATGCTAGCTTTACTGTTTAACTGCCTGAACTGGTATAAGAGAGACCAGCAAGGCCTCAGATTTATTCTCTTTTCACTGTTGGACTGGAGCGCTCTTTGACACAGGACACATGAAGTATGTCTGACATCGGAGTGGGAGGCATCTCTTGGGACTTTCTGATGACTTTCTGCCTCTCAATGAACCAATAGCCTGTAAGGCTGAAGCAGTGTGGCGACCAGCGTGCACCCTGGGGGTAGCGGCTCATAAATTTGCCCACAAATGCGATGAAAAGATGTCCAGGGATGCTTTCCAGCTCTACACCAAAAGTCATTTTCCACCACTCACTATTTTCACATGCTGCCTCTCTCATACTCACAGAGCCCTTGAACATCTGACAGCTTTATGGCTTTTTTTGGAAGCAGGGGATCTTTCCAGCTCTACACCAAAAGTCATTTTCCACCACTCACTATTTTCACATGCTGCCTCTCTCATACTCACAGAGCCCTTGAACATCTGACAGCTTTATGGCTTGTTTGGCAAGCAGGAGATATTTTGCTCCAACCCACAGTGCTAATCTTCTGTATGCATACCTGTAGGTGTGAGGCTGGCTCTGTAGCTAATACAGTTTTAACAAGTTATTGTTAGGGTTTGACTAAATGTGAGTTTAAAAAGTAGGAATACATCAAGAAAGATGTAAAAGTCATTTCGCAACTACTCGCAGATTGTTTACTGCAAATCAAAGAGTCAACCATAGAGCCGTCTGCCTCTGTAATTATTTACACCATAATTGTCCTTCTCCACAACTTGACATGTTAATTGTTTTTGCAAATTATACAAACATAGAGATATCAGTTTAAACTAGTTGTTGCCTGAAGCATCAAATTCTAGAAATCCTGCTTGTGTGACATCTTCATCTCTCTCTTCAGGTACAACAGTAGCTACTACTACTCTTCCCACAGCTGAAGAAAGGTCATCCTGTGACAACACACCTTTCGGCTGCTGTCCCGATGGGAAGACGGCCGCCATCAGCTCTGAGGGTACAAACTGCCCCTGTAAGTTCCTGCCAATCACTCTTAGCTAAGTGTCACTTAGATAACAGCACATGTTCGTTTATTAACTGTGACCAGCTTTATGACTAAGCCGCCAACAGCGAGTATTCTTTTTATCCTGGAAGACTGAGAGGATGGTGAGGAGGAGGTGGTCAGAGTTGTTAATGACAGGGGAAACTACTGTCTATGAGTATGTATTATCTTAGACATGCCATATGGATGTAGATTTTGTGTGCCCAGGGTCCAAAATTAGCACTTGTCATGCACCAAATGCTTGTAAAAATTGCCTGTTACTCACTAGTTGGCTGGTGACTTAACTGATATGATACATTGTTGAAATGTAATTGAATTGTTTGTATATATACAGTGTAAGGGAAACAGGTCAATTTAGCTCAAAGGGAATCATTAAAGATTTTAAAGGGAATTTGGACAGAATCACTGTTTTACGGCTGATCACTATCTTAGATTGTCTGATTCGGTCTGATACCCTACAACAGTATACATAGGTGTAATTTAAACATATTTTAAAATGTACTTTGTTCCTGTGATGGCAAAGCTGAATTTTCAGCAGCCGTTACTCAAGTCTTCAGTGTCACATGATCCTTCAGAAATCATTCTAATATGCTGATTTGGTGCTCAAGAAACATTTCTTCTTATTATTAATGTTGAAAACAGTAGTGCTGCTTAATATTTTTGTGGAAACCATGATACAGTTTTTTGTTTCCAGAATAATTTGAATATTAAGTTAAAAAGAACAGCATTTATTTCTTTTGTAACATTAAGAACTTCTTTACTGTCACTTGATGCATTTATTTTGTCCTGAGTCAATAGTTAGTATTAATTTCTTTCAAAAAGAAAAAAATCTTACTAACAAATAACTTTTGAATGGTAGTGTGTATAAACAGTTAATTTTGGACCCTGAGTATTCCAGATGCAGGGGAGCAGGTTCCATACACACACGAACCTTTTTCTCGCACCAGCCCCATCTGTTTTATAAGAGCAGAAATTGCACACAATGGAGACTAATCAATACAGGACAGACAGGAAGTGGCAGTCAGATGTTTTGTGCTCTTTGTATGGGAACACTAGGTCAAGTGCTCACGTCTCTTCTCATATCCGTCAGGCGGGTCTCGTAACTCCCCACTGTTTATTGGCGATGTGTCACAGCGGCCGGGAGCGAGGGCCCTAATGTCCACTGCGTTCAGTCTCTGCTGTCAGCTCGAGCTCTCCCCATGTCTCTCAAGCACTAAGGAGAACTTCCCCTCGTATCAAACTGTTTTACTGAAAGGCTGAAAACAGCAAACAGTGCAGTTTTCCCCTGCTGCCTGAATGCGATGTTAGATATGTTTGCTTCCCAATGTTATGAGGGGAAATAAGCTTCCCTATTGAAAACCTGTTTAACCAAGTTATAATTGATGAGGTCAGGTTGAAATAAATCAATCCGGTATTCCAGTGCTCAGATTATAATCTGTGATTATATATATATATATATATATATATACTGTATTTCTATGCATGTATGTATTTTTATATGTACCATATTCTTAAATATACTACAAAATACATTGTCATGCCAAGTGAGAAATATTAATGTCTGAATTTTCTCAATTTACTTGACCAAAAATTCATTTTGGACCCTGAAAAAAAGTATTTAAAGAATAAAAGTCTTACAATTCTTTTACTGCTAGAATCATGCTACTGTTATAATTGGTATTTATTATCCTCTGTTGTCCTCTATGGACCAATTCTAAGCCTATGATTTAAACTAGAGTCTTAGATGCCTCTACCCCACCCCACTGCTTAAAAGTTAAAATGTTAGTTAAGAATGAATTTACATATCTAGTGTAAATTAAAATTTTGTAGCTCATTGTACAACAGAAAGCCATCTGGACTCTTTGTAACCAAAGATAAGGACAGTTTTAATGAGTACACGCTAGAAATGATGGACCATAGATGTATTGTGACGGAGAATTTGGGACTCTAATTTGAGTCCACATCTAAAGCCTGATTTCTCCACATGTCTTTGCGCTCTATGGGAAATTCCTGTCCTCAGATGTTTCCGATTTAGAATCTGATCGCTGTTTCCCTCCATCTCTCTTCACATTCAAATCTCCCCCATTTGCTCCTTTTTGAAAGTCCCATCAGATACGAGGTGATGTGTGTCTGTGCATAAGACCCTTATCATGCAGTTTTAACCAGCTTCTGTCACTCACCTGTTCCTGGGATTAGAAGACAATTACGGCTATCTTTCACGATAATCATACAAGTGCTTATCCCGGTCCCAGCCAAGCTGGAGCCTGGCCAGCTTGATTGATTTGGGCAATTTGTTCAGCTGATTACATGCTGCACAGAACCCAGCATCAGGCCCACTCCCCGCTCTCCTTCAGTCGTTTATTCATTATTTATTTCTCTCAGTCATGTAAAAACAGGCCTCTGATCCTCTCACTCTTTCCACTTATTAGTGTCAATGAGAAAGGTCAGCAATAACCTTAAAGGAATGTTTAATGATGACCCCGACCCTAGTCGGGAAGTATGAAAGTATCTTTTACCTATTATCTGTGATATATTGTGCAATGTATGTCAGTGTCACTGTCTAACCGTTCTCTTTCCACTCAGTCCTCCATGCCAGCTTTTGGGAAGATTCTCGGTCTGGTAAACTCCAGTCCATCCTTCCTTCCAGACCTTTATCCATATTCTCACATACTTCCCTATACCTCCACCTCCACTGCAAATTAATCTCTCTTTCCCCACTCGGTGAACCCCACGACTAACCTCACAGAAGCTCCATCACTAACTAACAGACTGGCATTGCACCAACCACAAGTGTGTGTAGCTGAGAGTGGACTGGCACTGTGCGTTTCATCTAAGTGTCTTTTATATAACCATATACTGTATGCTTCCCTGCCTTGCCCACAGCCACCATGCGTTTCAGCGGCTTACTGCACCTGGATAAGGTAGAGGGTCAGGAGGTCTTCTACACGCCTGAGATGGAGGACCCCAAGTCCGAGTTGTTTGGTGAAACGGCCCGGAGCATCGAAAGCGCTGTGAGTTATGCAGCTCAAACTTATACTTGAGTTCACTTTCAGTTCAGCTTTGAAAAGAAGTTCAGGTTCAGGTTTCGGTTACAGTTTCATTTTATAAAAAAAAAAACTATCAAAACTACATTATGCCGCTTTAGTGATGCTTAATTTTTCAGTCATGTGGCAGTATCTCAGCTGTTTCAAAACACTGTAGCTGTTCCAAAAAGTAGCAGAATTACTGAAACCTGATTGAAGATTAGCTTCTTGTTTATCACAGATTCTTTTCTTGTTGTATCTACCTTTTACTTCTCCATCCAGTCTCTTTTCTCTTGAGGTTGGCCCCATGGAAATTAATGCGGAATGCTGGAATTATCCAGCGAAATAGGTTGAATGTGACTTTTGAAAAAACATGTGTCTGGTGATCTGTCAGTCTCTGGAAAGGCAGTGCATTAGCATAAAACTAATATGCTCTTTAAATTTCACTGTGACAGTTAAATATAAATAAATTTAATTAAAACAATGGCATGTAGCTTTCAAGTATTTCTCAATCAATTAAACATTGCAAATTTTAACAATTAAATTCAGTGAGGGTTTTTCCTGGTTTTTCTCTCATTCGGTTATAATTTTTTTAATTATTTATTCCCAAAAAATTTAAGGTACATTGCAAAGACAAAAAAGCAGGTACATGGGAACAAAACAAATAAATAGAACCAAAAAACACAGTAAGATAATAATAGTGATAGTGAACAATTACAAACAAGATAGATAGACATATATTATTTATTATACTATTATCTTTACTAATATTTTGAATTATGTTTTATTTTTAGATTTTCAGTTTTCATTTTAATTTTATGTGCTTTTGTCAATTTTATTAGTTTAGATTTTATTTTAATAAAATTTTGTTGATTTTATTAGTTTCTGTAGATGATGGTTTAGTTTAGTTTTAATTACAAAAAGCGATTAATAATAGTTTTAGTTAACGGTAGCAACACTGGCTGGTATTTTGGCCTCAATGCACCGATACTTTTGACATACTGATAGCCTAGCTTCCTTCACTGAGTTTTTCTTGCATTCTTCAGCTGACACTGCAAACTACCTGCCGGAATCTGCTGAAGAAGCTGGTGATTTGTTCTTGGCTTATTAACCCATTTTGGGGCGTGTCTGGGAATGAAGTGCAGTGCGATAATGAGTTCCACTTATCACTCTAATGTTAGCTAATGCTATGACCGAGACTAAGCGAGGATGTAATCAGCCTTTCTCTAGGAGCGCTCTACCTGACACAGAAAGCTAATCCCCCATACTTCACTCTCTCACTCGGTGAGGTCCAAATCTCAAATGGGGCCATAGTCAGTAAAGAGCCAGCAACTGAAATGGTTTCACTTGCCTTGAGCATGTCTTAATCCCGCTTCATGATGTTCATGATGCCCCCAGGTTTAACAGAGCACCCCCTCCCCTTCATGCCTCTAAATAGCCACCCTGTCTTTCCCTTCACTTAATTTCAACCCTGTTTGCTAGACTCTGTGTAAGCAGCTTCTGAAGATTAAGGCCAGTTTCTGGGTCAGCATTTCCATCTGGCTATGCTGGGCAGCCTGGTTTTGTTGGGGGTCTCTCCAGTGAGGCCTGAAGGAAGGGAGGGCGCGTCTCCTTTCATTTCTTGCCCAGCATGGATCCAAAAGTACAATGAACTCACACAGGGTCAGCCTAGAGGCAAAAGCCATTATGTCTGCGACAACTGTGCGCTTTTCCAAATTCAAGTGCAGCTGTGAATGAAAAGAGTGAAGAAGGAAAACACAAGGCCCTTGGGTGACTTGAATGGGGTACTCGATGGACCTCCTGCTGAGGCACTCTAACAGAATGTGCACACACGTCAGAAAGCACTTGAACAACTCACAAAGCGGTTTGTGAGTCGATTGAGTGCATCCTAATTGGAAACTTCTCGTTTGCTCTAGTTTTGACCAATTAGGTGCACTGAAATGAATTTGGTTTTGGTGAAATGGTGCTGCTGGAAATGGGAACCAGCAGCAACTAAGCTCCTGTTACATTAGACCAAATCGGTGACAGAACTCCCCTACATGTACCAAGGTAGAAACTGAACCAATTCTTAACAGGCAGTGTTGTAATCTGACATTTACCGCTGACTTCGAAACGTGTTCACGTAATTACTTCTGCGCTGTAGTTAAATGTCAATTTGTGCACCGAGACCCGATGGGGTTCAGTAGAGTTTTTCCACTGACACACTTTCTCATCCTGTGGAGGAATGCAGTGTTAACAAGAACTAGATCAGCATATCGAGCTTATTACCAGTTCACACACTGTACTTGGGGCATTTACTTCTTTGTTTTTCTCTGTCTTACTTTCTTTCTGATTTTATTTTCTCCAGCTGAATGAATTGTTCCACAAGTCAGATGTCCAGAAAGACTTCCAGAGTATCCGTGTGAAGAATCTGGCCCCCAGCAACTCCATAATAGCCTTTATTGAGGCTCACTTTGACCCAGGTAAAGTTTCACCGAAGGTTTTCTTAAAGATTGTTTACTCAAAAAGGTCTCTCAGTGATCACTAAGAATGAATTGTGCCCAATGATAATGTTTTATGTACACATGCTGTTTGCATCATTTCAGTCAGCAACTCACTATTACCAAATAATCTAATGCAGGGGTGCCAAATTTATCTACTTGAGGGCCGCAGTCTTAGAGAGTTTAGTTCCAAACCTGCTCCAACACACATACCTGTAGTTTTCAAATAGTCCTGAAGGACTTTATTAGCTGGATCAGGTGCGTTTAATTAGGATTGAAGCTAAAATCTGCAGGACTGTAGCCTTCCAGCAATTGAGTTTGGCACTCCTGATCTAACGGCTCAATCTCCCCCACAAAATTAGCACTGAGCACAATGTGGAAATTTTTAGCGATCTTGTGTGATGGAGGCCAGATAGTGGCTGTGAAGAGGTGCCTACTTCATGCTAATTCGAATCCTGCTTGGAGCATTGTGAGTAGGACCAGTTACATTTTTTACCGTGACCCAGATGGGAAGTTCTGGGGGTTGAGTGTAACAATGGCCAACTAGTGGGAGCTGTGCAGGTAAACCTCACTCTCCAGGCCTTAAGTGGCACACAAATGAGTAGGGGTTGTGGTCTTTAACATCCTTGTAAACATGCCTGCCTCCCATGCCGGTTGACCTTGGTTTGAATCCCACTCCGAGCATTGCGCATAGGACCAGTTACATTGGTGCCGTGACCCGGATGGTAGTGAGGTTTAGGCGGGTGAGTGTTACAGAGGACAGCTATTAGGAGGTGTACAGAAACCTCACTCCCCTGGCCTCAAGAGGCGCATTAGTGACTAGGGCAGTGGACTGCTGTCTTGAGTGTGGGTGTTAGCACACCCACCTCCCATGCTGATTGGTTCAAATCCCGCAGACTGAGTTGGACCAGTAACACTAGCAGACTTGAAACTGAGCCTGTCTAGCATGCTATGCCAGAATAATACAGCATCGCTACTCAATGCAGGCTCTTTAAAATGCTGAAAGTGCACTTGACTACAATGCACATCTGGACGTATGCCCAGTTATAATGCTTTTCTCCATCATTTGATGACCACTGATTAATAACAGTTGCCATGACAACAAACATCTCTTAAATAAAATTAAGTGTACCACCAACTTTCCATGGACGGTAATAGTGCAATGTTTAATAAAATATATATTTTTTTAAATAAAATTAGCCTAATTTGCATAGACAATGAGGTGTGTTGCACTGACAAGAATAATTGTAACTTAATTGAAATATTTTAGTGCATTTATCTGGATTCAACTGCATTGATTGTGCTTAGTGAAGACTTTTTGCACTAAAATACAGCACTGTTTAGTGAATTTGCCCCTCGATGTTCTTTATTATCTGTCTCCTCCAGTCGTTCTGTTTTTCGTTATCCTGTTTTTATTTACTTTCTTTTTTCAAGCTGCTTCTAATTTATTTCTAAAGCGGCTCTAGTACACAAAGCACACCATCCGACTTATACCCTCCTCCCACATCGAAATTCCCCCAGTCTGCGCTCTTTTAGAAACATGCCCGCGGCAAGAAATAAAAAGCACATAAAAACTCCCTTGTATGTTTGAAGAAAATAATAATTCAACACAGCAGAATGAGGCGTACAAGTTAAGTAAAATAATCCCTGAAGATACAGCTCTCGTCTTTTCTGTCTGCCGGAGCGGTCAGAGAGCCTGGCCTTTTTAGTGAGGTAATTTATCAGCGAGGGGTTCTGAAAAAGCTCCTTTATTTCAAGTCTCCATCGCTTCTCATGCTTTTAAAACCCTGAGCATCACACTAGCTGATAAAAATCTCCTTCACTATTCTCTTTTTATTGATCCCCTTCAGCGGCACAAGAGCACAATTCTAGCACAAGTGCCTGTCATAAAGGCGGTCTGTGGTGGCCAGTAACAGGGCCATCTGTGGAAGCGTTATTAGAGTGTTTCATCTCAACGTCCCTGAAATGCATGGCGGTTCAAGAACAGCTTCTCCCAAGGGCCTATTACACGCAGGCTTTTCTGTATATATTTGCAGTATGTTATGTCAAGTGCAAGGGTGGTGGGGCTGGTTAGTGCCGGTTCTTCATACTCTACTGTGGTTCACCTCTGGCTCTGTTTAATGTTGTGTTCTCATGCTACAGACACAAGGTTCAGTGTGGAGGATATTGAGGGAGCTCTTCTCAAACAGCTCAAGGCATCTAAAGACACAGGTATCGTTGTGAAGAAACCTGAGGAAGACAACATCCGCATCACCACCTATGGTAACCTGCTTGAAATTGCTTTTCCGTCTTTTTTCTTTTTCTCTTGCTGCCTTTTGTTGAATGTGATTGCTCTTCAAGCTGGCATTTGATAGCCATGAGTGCCCGCAGGACTCGCATAACTCAAAAAGATCCAGCTTATTGAACGTGAGACTGTATGTCTCAGCCTCGGATTCATTTGTCAAGAATTAAATATGTCTACCCTGACTAAGGCCTGTTGACCTATTTTTTCTTTCTCTCCATTTTTTAGGTCTTTCAGCTGTTCCTTTCTTCACGACCACGACAACCACCGTGGCATCAGTCACAACTCCCACCACCACAATGCTGTCTCCCACTTCTGCATTTACCACGCTCCGCCCGACCACCACCAGACGACCCTTCACCAGCCGCAGGACCACCACAGCCTCACCAGCCACCACCACTCCATCCCAGACCCCCACGACCACAGTCTCGCTCAAGAACAGATTGATGGTCCACGCCAACAGGCTGTGCGACTCGCAGCCCTGCCGTCACGGTGGAACCTGCGAGGAGGAGGGTAATGACTTCACCTGCATCTGTCCTGCAGGAAGAGGAGGAGCCGTGTGCGAGAAAGGTGAGGAGAACTACAAAAACTAGAAAAAAATCTGTACATTGCGGAAACAACTGATTGAAAGGGTGAATCTCATAAAATCATAACCAGGTCAAATTTTTATGAACACATAATCAACAGAAAAAAATATCTTTCCATAATAAAACAAAAACCAAAAAGTTTTAGGACCATTTAAGATTTATTTGTTGCATTATGATGTTATTTTCATGAAAATGAAACACATTTTTCCTGTGCAATTTTTTCTTATACATCATCTCATTACTGCAATGTGTCTGGACAATTTAATTTTGAGGGATATTTCTGGTAATTATAATTGTTCTTAGTGGTGATTTTTGTTGATGTTTTTTTAATCAACATAAAAGGTGGTACAACAAACACTACCATAAATAGTTTGCAATTTTAAACATTTTAATATATCAGTAATTTAATAGAATTTATAATATATATTATATATTTAAATAAAATAAATATATGCTTTTTTGCATTATGCTAATGTGACTTTGGGAAGGATTTGTGTTTTATTATAATGCAGTCATAATGCAGAAAGAACCTAGCATTTCATTTTATTATATAATCATTTTCTTCAAGCAAAGTATTGTTTCCTATTTCTCTTGATCTTTCTCTTGGTGAGAAATAAAAACCACAATAGAAGTACACTTGAATATTTCAGATATGTTTGAATATTAATTATTATTAATAAATGATTGCAATTAAATATGCATTATTTATAACTTATTATTTATTATTAATATTCTGGCATATTTGAATCCTTTGAAAAAAAAAAAAAAGTATTCAATAAGGATTTAATTTAATTTTGTAGCCCTGCTGTTACCCTGAAGAAATTTTAGCTCAATTCATTGTCTCTGTTTGTATTGTCCCTTTTGCAGCTGTGTCAGGTTATAATGGACACTAATTACATCGATGAACTTTAGTTAGTATCAAACCGCTGTGAGGTGAAAAAAGCCACTAATTAAAGGCTTGTAAGCAGCCCTCAAACACTACCTCTGATCAATCAGGTCATTAAAGCGTGATGAAGAGAGAAAGCTTCATCAGCCTTGCATTCTCCCGAGAAAAGGGTGAGAGACAGCTGAGAGAGAAAGAGAGAGAGGTGTTGATACATTTCTGAACATGGGGATTCTCTGTCTGGAATGTAAATGTCTAACGGAGAAAAGTACAGAGAGAACTATGGTACTCATCTTTGCAGGTCTTATGTTTTTTCACACTAGGGAATATAACAAACACAAACTGAATGGCACATTACTGTAGTATTGACAGGGGTATCTGTGTTATCTGACGGAGACACGCTTGAGCACAGTTTTGTTTGTCACTTTATCAGTAGAAAGCAGACTGTTAAGGAATTGAAGGCCAAGTTGAGAGTCTCTGATGACCTGCTTTATCTGTCTTCTACCTTCTGTCCTACTCAGTTATAAAGTACTTCATCCCATCCTTTGGTGGTAAGTCTTACCTGGCTTTCCGAACCATGAGGGCCTACCACACTGTGCGCATTGCCATGGAGTTCAGGGCTTCGGAAATGACAGGGATATTGCTGTACAATGGCCAAAAAGGCAAAAAGGACTTCTTGTCTCTGGCACTGGTTGAAGGACATGTGGAGCTCAGGTAAGTAACCAATGGAAAAAAAAAACACATTTGTTACATACTGTAGGGATGGAAATCAGTTCTTATTCAGAGTGATTTTCATGACCATTACAGATCCATTAACTATTTTAATTTGTGATTTTTCTCTGTGAAGGTTTAACACTGGTTCTGGGACGGCTTCAGTGATCAGTAAGGTCCTGGTAAGACCGGGTCGCTGGCATCAGCTCGTAGTAGTGCGTAACAGGCGTAATGCCATGCTGAGCGTGGACAATGAGCCGAGCGTTGAAGGACAGAGTCCCCCAGGAACAGATGGACTCAACCTGGACACAGACCTTTTCATCGGAGGAGTGCTTGAAGACATGATACCAGAGTAATAGAAGCTCCAGAACGCCTCCAAATAACACTAACAAGAGCCTCTTTAGTCTTGTTAGAAGCCATAATGAAACAATATGGAGAATAATAACCTAAACCACTGACTGTCTAAGATTGTCTGCGCATGTTTGCAGAAACCTGCCAGAACAGCTAATATGACTTAATAAGATTGAGCAGAAATGGCCAAATCAAATTAGCATTAATCAAAGATGTTGTGAAACACCACTTGAGTTCTTGTGGGTCTAATTGAATGTTTTTCCATCTGTTCTCAGTCAGGCAAAGAGTGTCTTTTCTCAAATGAGAAGAAGACGTCTTTGTTTTTTTTATTTAATAATTTCATGCTGTTGTTACATTTTCCGTGTCATTTAAGAATTAAGATGAGCATAAAGGAAGGAAGAACTGACAAGACCTCACTTGTTCTTGCAGTGTAAAGGAGAGGACGTCAGTTTCAACAGGCCTGGTAGGCTGCATCCGCATGCTGGACGTCAACAACTTTGTCTATAACCTGCAAGAGAATGGCGACAGCATTCTATACGGCTCAGGCGTGGGCGAGTGTGGCAACAATCCATGCCTGCCGAACCCTTGCAAGAACGGAGCCTCCTGTCAGGTCAAAGAAGCCGAGATGTTCCACTGCAAATGTGTCAATGGTTTCTCTGGTAAGTACACCTTTTCACTTAAACATATTTCTATAATACTTTAATTGGTTACGCTAATGTTGTCTCAAAAAACAGATTGCTGTTCTATTTGGTGCCAAAAGTGGTGCAGAAATGACAACCTTTAACTATACACTATTGAATTATAAAAGGTTCTGCAGTCACTTTCTGTTGAAGTTCTGAATATCTGGACTTGACTCTATTGATGAAAGATTCAGCAGGGCAGAGGATGCTTGTCTAATCAGTTTTTAGCCTTATGGGTATGTAAGAAAGATGAGTGTTTACCCAATAATATGAAGGCAGCAAGGACAAACATGGAGCGAATACAAAAATCTTCACCTGTCCTGAATATACTGTACACACCATGGATAGAAAGTGAGTAGGAAACCCGTCATTGTTTTCAGAACAACAGACACAAGCTATATTTCTCACAGTTCAATAAATTAAAAAATCTGATTGTATAAAACAACATCAAACATTATTCAGCTCAGTCACAGCCACTTTTGAAGCACCAAACTTCTAAATTAATCTGATCGAGTCTCTCATGGACACGCAGGGTTTCTCTTGTTTCTATGTTTATTTATTTATTTATTTTATTTTTGAATAAATGTATGTTTAAATAAAATAAAACATAGAAATACCATAACTTATTACATATACATTAAATATTTGTAAAAAAAAAAAAATGATATAAATAAATATACAATAATATAAAATATATTTTTTGCATTATTCTAATGAGCCTTTGGGAGAGAAATGTGTTTTCTTGAAAATAATTTCATAATGCAAAAAATTAAATGGGATTTATTTTATTTAAGCAAAGCATTTGGCACACCCATTAGGGCAGGTCTCAATATTTCTAGTGCCAATTTATTCTTAGTACCTAATGCCAATGTTATGATTATTTTGTGAAATAATTATATGTGATTATTTTTTATGCCACATGAAGTTTTTCCAATATTCAACAAAATTGGCTCAGGTCATGTTTAGACCAAGACTCACAAACATGGATTTTGGAAATTCAAAACCACTTGACTGTAAAACGCCAACAAATTTGATGGTGATGCTGCCAAACAGAAACTTGGATCTTGGGTCTTAGTGGGAAAAAGTTATTATTATTATTTTTTTTTTTAATAAAGGCAGAAATTTATAAAGTTACTAAAAATATTTTAAATAACAATATTTTACAACATTACAGCTTTTATTTTATTTTTGAACAAATAAATGCAGCCTTGGTGTGCATAAAAGGAATCTTCTTTCAAAACATCAAGAAACCTTACCAGCTTCAAACTTGTGAACGGTAATATATATTCCACTGGTGTGCTTGGCCCTGTAATTACTGTTTCTGGCTTTCTCCTGTATGTCCATCTTTGCTTTCTCACAGCATAAGGAATGGTAGGAGTCATCCACAAAGAAGTTACAGTGTTCTCTTTGTTCACTTCGAAGAAGCTTTTTTTCTCTCTCCTTCTTGCAGTGTTGCTCCAGACATTTGAAATATTGCCCAGAGTAAATTGCTCTGTTGTTCTGCTCACAAGCCTTTATTGAACAACCTTTATAATAATACAGTTCAATATCTTCCACTTTATTTCAGTGCTGCAGAATGGCTGCAATGAGGTGTGTAGGAAAATGAATACCCTTTGAAGTAGAAGTGTACACAAAGAAACTGGCTAGAGGGATAAATATGTGGGATAACCTTTAATGTTTAAAGAGCAGGATTGTAAGTTGGAGGGTTGGCGCACTGTCTCCATGATAGAGCAGCCTTATAGTTTGAGAGCAAAAGAGAGAGACACCTAGCAGAGCGTCTCAGAACACGGTGGGGGCTTTCATTACAGCAAGCAGCAGTTGCCGCCCGTGGCGTGATCTCCTACTATGTTCTTTGTGATGATGGGAGTGTTCTGATGAGGCTAGAAGCGCTGACCTGATGGAGTTTCAGTCTCTCAAACCAGGAAGGCACACAAGCACAACATGCAGCACTATGGCTTAATCTAAATTTGTAATAATTTAAAAGAGAATTCTATTTGAAAACCTCTACACTCTTAAAAATAAAGCTTTATTAGAATCTGTGGTTCCATGAAGAACCTTTAAAGGATTAGTTCATTCACTTACAGAATAAAAATTTCCTGATAATTTACTTACCCCCATGTTATCCAAGATGTTCACGTCTTTCTGTCCACTTAAATGTTGGCCAATGGGCTGAAGGTCCAAATTGCAGTTTCAATGCAGCTTTAAAGGGCTCTACACAATCCCAGCCTAGGAATAGGGGTCTTACCTAAAGTATAGACTTTTTAACCACAAATGCACGCCTTATTCTGGAAGTGACCTAATCTTTAACATAAATGGAACCTTTCCATTGCACAAAAGGTTCTTTACAGTGGAAAAAAAAGGTTCTTATTAAAAACATTCTTCACACTTAGAAAAAATGGTTAAGAACTGTGCACTGAAAGGTTCTTTGGGGAGCCCAAAATTGTTCTTCTACTGCAGGGATCGGCAACCTTTTTGGCATGACGTGCCATTTAAAATTTTTCTGGTTAACCACTGTGCCAATACCCCCCCCCCCCTTTTTTAATGCATTCTGTATAAACAAACATAAACATTTTTAAATGATACGATAAAAAACAATAGGCCTTTCTGATTTTCATGCAAATAGTTTCTGAAGATTTTTTCATAAATAGTTTTTTAAACTTTTCAAGTTTCTTGAATAACAGATAGCCTATACAGTGTGACCGTACTGAACACCACTGTATGTGTGTGTGTGTGTGTGTGTGTGTGTGTGTGTGACAAGGCCAGTGCATTAAAACCATTCAGTTTAATCACCATTCTATATTAATGCGCTGCTTTAAAGGGGTCATATGATGCGATTTCAATTTTTCCTTTCTGCGCACACACACCACTCGCTTAGAGATCTGAGATCGCGCTGTGCAAAAAGTAACATTCAGAAGCTCATAAACTTGTCAGCACTGCCACGCGACATTTATTAATCGATACTGAATCGCTACATTATATTTCTCAGCAACGAGGGTGGTAAAATCGCTGTTTTTTAAGTAACTAAACAGCTTCATTGTTTGTAGAGAGAGACACAAACGCAGGCAATTTACACCTCTCTCTCGCTCTCTCTCTCTCTCAAAATGGCCATATTTGAGAAAAAAATTCGAGTGGTTTGCGTCACTGGATATAGCTGTCGGTCATTTAACATTTCTATCGTAAAACGTATCGTTAAAAGTTGACTAATATTAAATTATTTGCAGCTGACTGTACCTTGCTCTCTTTAATGTTGAACTGACGCTTCGCGCTCTGCTTCTGTGAACAGTAAACCCCGCCTACTTTGATTTGATTGGCTATCTCAGTCATTTTGACATTGACAAGCGCTGTTAGACCGCTGAGGCTTTGATCTGAAGTGCCTACTATGTGCAGCGGTCGCGCACGGATCCGTAGACTAGCGCAAGTCATTCTCACACTTTAATAGTATTTATAGCTCCTAAAAGGCTGTGTGACTATGAGACGTTATTACCTCAAAATGTACGTCAGTATGCAGTTTTCCCTATTGCTCGCGTGCCAGCGAGTATCCCTCTGCGTGTATTTAGGTGGAAATTCAAGTCAGCTGACTCAGAGTCCATCTTTGTAACATTTCTAGGCAGCTGAATCTCAAACTGTTTGGCAAAGTCATGTTTTAATAACATTTCATATTGGCAATAAAATCTGACAACACTGGTATCATCAATTTAACTTCTTTAGCTCGAATCATGCTGAAAAACTGTATTTTTCTTGGTATCTTTCAGCTAATGGCTATTAAACAAACTCAATCAAAAAGGTGATTGGCTCTGATGGCTGCCATGTTAATTTCTCTGATTCATTTCACTGCCAGTGGTCCATCTCCTCCTCCTTACACTGTGACTGTGAATCTGTGACTTAGCTAGCCAGTTTGTATGAGGATTGACAGGAAGTTGTTTGATTGCTCCCCAAGTTATCATCTTTTTTTAAGCCACAAAAATATCAATTTCTGTTAACAGGTCCAACCTGCGCTGACGCCCACAACCCTTGCGACCCCAATAAATGTCACCCATCATCGCGGTGCCAGGTCCTTCCGGAGGGAGGATACAAATGTGAATGTCCAATGGGACGTGAAGGCAAGCACTGTGAAAAAGGTACAGTACTACATCATAGTAAAAATACAGTAAATGAGCATATCGACTCCCCTAAGGACTGAAATAACTGCTACTCCTCAGTTGTAATTTCAGTATTGGTTTTTGTCAGGATCGATTGGTCTGACTTGGATATTTGCTGTAGAATTATCAAGGAAAAAAAGGGGCTGAGGTTATGGTGGGGTGGTCAAAGTGAGATTCTCCAGTGGGTACCATACTGTAAAATAGGTTTTACCAGTATAATGGAGAGTCAGCATCTGGGAGGTGATTTGAAATTATTTTCCCTTTCACACTATGTCTGAGTTGCCATCCTGAACTGGAAGATCAAGCATATGGTGGGGGGGGGATTTCTCTCCTATGGGAGCTGGACCCAAACCAGGGAAGAGATGCTTCGTTCTGCTGCCATTTCGAAGCTTTCATTAGCACTCTCACTCTGTTGCACTTCTCTCTCTCACCTCATTAAAATTCCTACAGATGTTTTAGACCGCAAGCATTAGAAAAGGGGAAACCAAATGAAAGGTTTAGGAACACACATGTGCGCAGGCATATTAGACACCCCACATGATGTAGGGGGGGGTCCGGCCCTATACACTTGGCCATGAACCCCTTTAAATGTAGGTTAAATTAGCCAGTGCAATAGTGCCTACCCACTTTTTTCAGCAGAATTGGTTTTGGAAATATTTTTCCCATTCATTTTTTCCATAGGGATTTAAAAAAATTCTTCATTAAAGAGTTATAAGCCATCAACCAAATCAAACAGCTTCAAAGTGAATCACAACATTACAAACTTTGATTTGAAGGAGGGAAAGAATGATTGGTGGAGATTTCTTGCAGAATCTTAAGTAATGTAGTTTCTCATGAGGATTCCCGCTGTTAAACACGATTGTTTACAAAATAAATTTAAATAATGTGGGCTTATTCAGCAAAAGCATATACAGTTGATAACCAACCTTGTGGCTCACAGTAGGGTTGACTTTAAAGTAGAGACCTGCACTCCCGCGGGACCCAACGCAACAGGGTGCGGCGCGGGACAACTCTTGATGGGCGAGTGCGAGTGTGGGCGGGAGGAGACTCGTGTGTGTGCGGGATGCGGGAGAATAAAATGATTTGCGGGACTCCCGCAAAATAGAAATTATCTAAACATAAAGTGTCTAGAACATATACATTGTTATTTATCTGTTGCACAAAAGCAAAAAGAACAACTAATATTAACATTAAAATGATTGACATGCGCAAGCTAGGTATATAATAGGTTTCTATTTATAACACGTGTTTAAAGGGTTGCGCAATGTAGCCAATCACAGACTCAGCTGTTGATTTCTGGAACGCAATGGCCAATCAGAGGTGATTAAGTTAGAATCTACTCACCACAGTGCTGAAATTGCGTGATCACGAATCCTTTTATTTTAACACAAGAAGTGTAGACACTGTGAAAGATTCATTGGTCATATATTTATTGTGTTATAACAGAGCTTTATGAGATCGCGATTAACTGAGATGTCAGCTTTTAGTGATAATAAAGGAAGCGCGCTGCTCGCATTCTGCCATGCCAAACCATGCCCGCAGCAGCCCATGCTTGCTTTTCTGTTAAAAATAACAGTGGTTTGTGAATGTCCATGCTTAGCCTAAATAACAAATATTTTATCGGGAGCGTTTATCGCGATTAACTGAGATGTCAGCTTTTAGTGATAATAAAGGAAGCGCGCTGCTCGCATTCTGCCATGCCAAACCATGCCCGCAGCAGCCCATGCTTGCTTTTCTGTTAAAAATAACAGTGGTTTGTGAATGTCCATGCTTAGCCTAAATAACAAATATTTTATCGGGAGTGTTTATGCTGGGATGTTGTGGAGCTTAGGAGATGTTACAGAACCATTTCATGTAAATTTCTACGATGTACTGAAAAAAATCTATATAGATTACTTTTAATGCGGGCGGGAGCGGGACAAAACATGAATGTCGCGGGCGGGAGCGGGACCAGATAAGATATATTTCTGTGGGACCGGGCGGGCCTACTTTAAAGGTTTAGAAGTTACTGTTAAAATTCCCTATGGAGAAAATGAAATGAACTTTTACTTTTGGAACCCGATTATCACACATTGTAGAGCTTCCAACTCATTTACATCACCATCAAGTCTTTACTGACTGTTAAAAACTTAAAAAACTTAATTTTCATGATTATCATTGCTGCCTGTCTGTATCAGCGATACTATTTCAGTATTTTTATTAACAATATGATATCACTAATAGTGGGCGGGCCAGTTTCATCATTCACAAGGTACCCCAGGCTTGCAGTAGGCCTATGTCATTGCACACACATTCAAGCACCTGTTCAACCCAGAACTATCAAATGAGGGGGGCCAGAGAGTCACCTCTTCGTCTAAGAAAGTCTCCATTAGCGAGTGATTAAAATAAATTGAGGTGAACCAGAATCAATGAGTTGAGCTCATCCATCAGACGGAGTGTGTTTTTTTTTATCGCTTGAATCAATGAGATGAGTAATTCTATCAGTCAGCTGCACATCATGATTAATGGGGAGTCAGTCGGGCAAAGTGTCCAGGGAGAGTGGCTCTCTCGGATAACAGACTGTCCAGCACTGTTTGGCTTTTCAGAAATGACAGTAAGTCAGTAACAGGAGAGCGCTCCCTTCTGGGCGAGGTTAGAAGGTAAAATACATGCAGCATGCTGAAAGAAGGAAATTTACGTGACATAACGGTCTAGTCAGGAAACACTTGACTCTTAGGAGTTACAATTGTCACTGAAGCACTGCTGGCCTAAAGAATAATTAAAGAATAAATAAAAAGTAATACAGGTACATGATTTATCCATTAGCTTCCATTTGGAAATTAAGATTTTTATAGTCTATATATATATATATATATATATATATATATAATAATAATAATATATTCAGTAAGAAAAAAATGCTAGTTTGCTAAGCAATACATAATTCTAAAGCTAATTTACAATATGTTTGTGCTTTACAAAAGGGTCATACTTCATACTTTCTTTTCTACTAGTTTTGTGAAAGTGGAATGTTTTATATAAAAATGTTGTAGTTTAATGGAATATTTCAAAATAACTATGTAAAAGAAAGATTGTTCAGTTGTCAGTAATTTACCAAACAACAGGCCTGTCCTGTGCTATTGAATGTTGCCAATTCCTAAGCTGCTATTTCTGCAGTGCAGAAATAGAGGCCTCTCCTTTGTCACTTTCCATTTTGACTTCTCACTTCCTTGTGGTGTCTGCAAGTGTTGTGTCTTCTTGTACAATAGCGAAGCTGCCGCTGTGTTAAACAATAGCTAATTAGCTTTTTAATCTCAGTCTACCATCCCAGACTGAGCATGCGCTCATCCTGTGTAATTACTACAGGGCGCATGCTGGGCTGAGTGGCAGTGCTATGTGCTGATGGGTGTGAGTGTATGTGTGATCGTGTAAGCTATATACAGTGTCACTGTCTGGTCTCATAACTGGAGGAACATCTCAAACACATTGTTATCTAATAGACTTTTTTTCATATTTTCCAGTGTCAGACAAGGGAGGCGCTTTCATTCCTTACTTTACTGGAGACTCTTTCCTGGAGCTCAAGGGCCTTCATCTCTACGGCCAGGATCTGAGGTATTACATTACATATTGGCTATTGTTTTTTGCATTTATTATAATGATGCACATAGTCGTGTTATATTAGTAGTGGTCTTCTGAAATGAGACCTCTAAGTCCTCTCTCTGCATTTGTTTTATTTAGCTCATTCATGTTAGTTAAATTCAATGTTTTTATTAAGAAGAATAATTATATTTGATATGAAAGTGCCTTGTATATTAATAATACAGTATTGTGTTGTATATTAATAATACAATAATAATGATGATGATAATCATACAATAAATAAACATTTTTGTGTATTGGTTACTGCTAACGTTTTTCTGTATTGTTGTTAATATTTTTAACAGTTACTAAATATATAACCTTCTTTTCGGACCAAATATCTTATTAATGATGCCTTTTTCTCAGACCATTATTCAAAAAATACTTGGTAAACACCACTTGTTTAATTAGGCTTCATCTCACTCAGATTATTTCACGTTTCAAGTAATTTCAAATTCATTTAGATTTCGGACATGTTGGATTGAAAAATTATGTTCAGTTGTTTGAGCTGTTAACTCAGTAATTAGTCCATCTGTTTCCACAAATTTTGATGCATATTTGCTAGCTAAATGCAAACATTGTTTCTCACATTACTTTTGCCTGTATCAAGGAAGAAAACCGCTTTTATGTATCTAATTGAACTATACTTATTTGTTCATAGGCAAAAGTTCAGCATGACTGTGGTTCTGTTGGCCAATGACTCCAAAGGCATGATCTTCTACAACGGTCAAAAGACAGACGGCAAAGGAGATTTCATCTCTCTCTCCTTGAATGATGGTATCCTAGAGTTTCGATATGATCTAGGCAAAGGGCCAGCTGTCATTAGGTAAACAGCACTCTCTATAGTTATATTCAAATGCAGTTCAATTCAAATAACTCCGCTGTGTTGTGTTCAGTTACTCTTTCAATTATCTAACTAGCTTTTGGGTTTATTCTCATATTGCTATTAAGAGGGGCAAATAAACATTTTTCCCATCTTTTTGCGTGTGTGCGCAACAGGAGTAAAGAAAAAATCAAGCTGAACGAATGGAACACAGTGAATCTGGAGAGGGCCAGCAGAAAAGGAGAGATCAGCATTAACGGCAAAGACCCCGTCAGAGGAGAGGCACCGGTATGAGAACCCTCTTATGCTTATGCTGCCCTATAAAGGCCACAAACATCACACTTCTTTACAAGAACAAGTCAAACTAGCTAACTAACCTTGCCCAAAAGTACTGCGGTGGTACTTTGATATACAGTGGAGTCCAAAAGCACAAATAGTTTTTGGGGATTTTGGAAATTTTGACTGAAAATAAAGAAATATTTCAGATTGAGCACTATTTCAATGTCACTAATCAAATAATATGTGACACTGATAATGTGACTCTGTCCAGACAGTCAGATGTTCTTCCGCTGAAGCTCAAGATTCTCTTTGAATCATCATGAAGAACTTGCTCATCAGTTTTTACACAAACTTGTGGAGTTCATACAGCTCCAGTGCTGCTGTCATTAAAGCAAAAGAGAGAGTTATTCTAAAATTTGACATTTTGACGTTATTCTAACATTTTTTTTACTCAAATTGTTTGGTTGACAGTGTCAGCTGTGATAAAAAAAAAAAGTATTAAATTAAGATATACAAGCATTTTCAAAAAAAAAAAAAGCTTTAGACCCCACTATACAACATGGTATTGAATGATTACCATATTCACATGCCATGATATTGACATTTCAGATAATACTATGGTATCATTATGGTAGATTTCAAAGAAACCATGATATTACCATGATTGACCAGAAAGTCATGCTTTGTTTGCATTCTTTAAAGTTTAGTTTGCTGCTTTTTACGCAGGGTCTGGGGGTGCATGTGTGGGAAGCTTTCGAACTTTTATGCCTCGTACTTGTGGTCTTTTGTCTGTGCAATTTTTTAATTGCCATGTGGAAATGACTCTGTCTGTTGTGCTATGGATTCACACCCACTCAGATCAATCCCAGCAGCCTCTGCCTGAGCTTGTGTCAAACCCGTAGTACGACAGCAGAACAATCGGACCGCTCTCATACACAAATCGAGGCCGTGTAATAATCTCGAAACTCTCTCATCCTCCAGTTATTCTAAATAGTGTAATTTGTGATTAGCTTGATGTAGTCTTACGCGTAGGCACTTAAGTGTGCCTTTTTTCATCATTAAACCTTCCTACGTATGATAATTGTGTTTCATTTCAGCAGTAGAGGCAGGCAAATCTTATTAAAGCGAGAGAGTGAGAGGATGAGAGAGGAAAAACTGTGAAGAAACCAGAAGGGTCTTGTTCCAAAGGGGCCGTCTGCAGCGAAACCCCGAGAGAAATGCTTTGATGGCCTCAGCTGTTCCACTGAACAGACTCTGACTACACTTCCATATCATAAAGCAAATATAAATAATGCGGGTGCAGTAGTGTAAAACATAGCGCAACTTTAATGCCATTTCTGATTTACTCTGAACATTTGTTTCTGAGGCACTGTACACACATATATTTATTTGCTTGCGACCTGCATGCTAAGTGTCTTGCTTGAGCTACGCCTGTGAATATTTTATTCCTCAAGCTTACAGTTTACTGCATGGGTTCTGTTCTGTGTGTACTGACATCCTCTGTGTTTTCTACACTGGTAACATTTTTTTTCTTCCTTCCCCTGTGCTCTTTTTGTGTGCTGTCTGGATATAAGAAATCACGCAAGGTAATGACTGAAGTCTGAAATCGCTTTCTCGAATCAACATCCTCATTCCCACCAAAAGCAGCTGCCCATTTCAGCTTCATTGTTCATTAGTCAAGATATGGTAGAGGATCAAACGAAACGAAGGGGAGGGTTTTTTTCTTCTTCTCTTCAAACCATTCCATATGCTGAAAGGAGCGAGGCAGAGAGAGATTTGGCTTTCACCTCAGACCAGCTGGTATGGGGGCGACGAAGGAGAGAGTTATCATTTGACCACCATTGTTTCATCACCCTTCCAACAACAATGAAATGTCTTCATTAGTCTCGCGTGGGAGGGCCATTAAACCGCCTCACTGTGGATGTAGACTGCGAAAGCAATGCTGCTGGCGTGGGAGAGAAAGGGAGTGTTATCACGAGAAGAAAGAGATGTGAGAGGAAGAGCGCGTGGTACAGAGCTAGGAGTTGTTCTTTTGCCACATTTGTTTTGGACCCTTCAAGGGTGTCTTACTTTTTTTTTTTGTTGTTTGTTTGTTTGAGGTGGTACCAATGACAGTCTTGGCTCACTTCCTGCCCTAGACAACATAAGACATGGCCAAAGAGAAAGACATTCTATAAATAAGTGCGAGACATGATAGTCTAGTGGTAGAGTTTCTTTTTAGAATCCGAGGGATTTCAGATGTTCAGATGTGTAACTTTTGAACCCAAAACTTTTTAAACTTTTGGGATAAGTCTCTTATGTTTTCACCAATGCATTTATTTGATCAAAAAATGCAGTAAAAACAGTAATGTTGTAAAATATTATTATAATTTAAAATAACTCTATTCTATTACTATTTGAATATTTTATTATATATCTTTTTTCATATATATATATATATATATATGTGTGTGTGTTTTGTAACATTATAAATGTCTTTACTGTCACTAACATTTTTATATTTTTTATTAATGTATAATACTATTGGGTTTTTATTTATTTATTTATTGCAAGGAAAACTTCTGAACCCGACAGCTAGTGATGATTTACATTGTGATCAACTTTGACATTTTAAAAATAATATCATTTTCAGTTTAAAGCAAATGATCTGCACAAGGTGCAGCTCAGTTGAACTGTCCGCGTTTCTACCAATGATTTTTATTTTATTTTTTTATTTTTTTTTTGTTGCCTACAACAGTCGTGCAACTTATCGAAGATACTCATTTTTCTTGGAAATTGCATACAAATTCTTGGCTTTGAAATCGGAGGGGGCACGTGCCAGTTTGAGTGGGCATGATGCTTCTAGGGCCCTTGGGGAAACTATCTAAATAACACTGACAGTTAGCTATTCACTTCACCTGCTCAATCTCAGTCAGCTCGTGTTGGCAGAGAACGAGAGAGTGAAAATGTCTCTCCCAGCCTGTGGCTGTCGGTGCATTGCAGCTTTGTGTCAAGACTTCTCATTGCACACGTCTCTGACCACATGAAACAGCAGCTGGGTAAAAACATTCCTGGCTATTCTGTCTTGGCCCAACCGCATGCTTGGACTGGCCTCCAGGTCCGTAGCCAGAGCTTTTCAAGCCTTCGCCTGTATCCGTACTTAGCTATTCTTCTTTTTATATCTCTGGAATGAGAGCTGGACCACACGTCAGAAATTGGCATTGCTGTTGATGTCCCATCTTTTTTTCCCTGGCAGTTAACTTGCCTTTCCCCCAAGGCAATTATTGGCCTACATAAAATAAAGATTTTTAATTCTTTTCAAGTAGAGCCTCATGCAGAAAAATCCCACTGTAACTAAAGCGATTTTCACACAGGTTGAAGAAACGCTCATTTCATGATCATCTGCATTGTAAGCTATACACCAATTAGAGTTTACAACTCAAGATTTTAAAGGTCCAAGGAACAATCAGGCATCCATTACTCTCTTTCATTAAAAAACCATCCATATCAGTCGTCCTCATTTCAATCGCTTCAATTTTCTCTCTCACTTTTTTTCTACCTCTTTTCCTCCTGTCTAATTTGTTAGATTCAGAGTCATTTACCATTCAGGGAACTGAGCTTAAATCAATTATGGTTTTGTAATGCAACACTTACACTGATGTGGATAAGGATTAGGTGTAAAAGTTGAATCAATAAGCCTGCTGATGTACAGTAAACATCCACTCTTCTACTGATTTTACTGCAGTTGCTCTACTAGATGACCCATACAAATTTATAGCCATTTTATTTGCATTAAAGGATGTGACTTTTATTAAGTTTGAAGAGTGAATAGAGGACGAGGAACAGTTCATGTGGTTTCTCACACTCATTTTTGTACTCTCCAGAATCAGCACACGGATCTTAATCTGAAGGAGTCGCTCTTTGTGGGCGGAGCCCCAGATTTCCGCAAAGTAGCCAGAGCTGCTGCGATTAAAGGTGGCTTCAAAGGGGCCATTCAGAAGGTGAGAGCTATTACAGATGCATTAAAGTCATGAATTCCCATTTGCATCCCATTTTACTTCCATCAGTTGATGTATGTTTAGAGTGAAACAGGATATTCAGTGAGAATAAATCTGAATTTACCCACTGGGAATTAAATGGATAGTAAAAAATGGATGTTACTTACAAGAATGAAGCCAGATCTAAATGTAATTTGCTAAAACACCCCCTAAATAACTGTTTGACTATTGGTTAACATTGTCCAATGGCCTGTTTCAGAAGAAGCACAACTTAGTATATTTGGACACAAAATAACTTTTTTTATGTTTTCTACTTTAAAATAACACGTACTAATGAATCCTCCACAGTAAGACCAGGAACATGCATTAAAAAAGGAAATTGTTTTGACATCAGCAAATAGTTTCAACTGTTTTTGAAAATAATTTTGGTTTTAAACATCTATCTTCATAGATTACTCTGATGGGAATTCCAATCCTGAAAGCTGATAACGCACTTCACTCCAGTGATGTGTCCATGTATCCCTACCACCCCTGCTCCAAAGATGTTTGTGAGAACGGAGGCCGCTGCAACCCCCTGTTGGACAGCTATGAGTGCGTCTGCCTCCACGGATTCGCTGGACAGCACTGCCAGGATGGTAAGTGCTTTATTTCATCACTATTTTTAATGCAAAATCGTATTACCCAGTACAGCCTCTCCTCCAACTCCCTCACACTCCTTTAAGGCAAGATTTGCATACGTCTTTTGAATACATCAACACACAACTTACTTAAAAGAAAATGCTCATGGCAGTTTTAGCCACTCATATGCTCCATATGTAGATTTAGCTAAATACACACCTCCAAACTTTCACAAATAATACCAGCCATCGTCCTTGTTCGATTTGTAAGCTTATCACAAACACACATTGGAACAGTTGCAAGAAACCCAAGAACTTTTGCTCACCTCATTAACCTTGCTGGGTCCTACTGTTGCATCTTTAACCTTAATTAACCCACAAAAGCATGAAGCCTGCAATATATCACGCTTTCCTTCTTTGTTTTAATTAAACTGTGCTGTGTCTCATATCGATTAGTGTAATTTCACTCCATCTTCTTTCCTCCCTTCCAGCAATATTCGAGAAATCTGCTGGGGACACCGAGGCCATTGCATTTGATGGTCATACATTCATCGAATATCACAACGGAGTCACCAAGAGGTAATGTCAATGGCCTCCCCAATGATCACGATCCGCCCTGAGCATCCCATCCCATCTCTATATTAGCAGTCAATGAGGGGTGATGACAAGCTAGATTACTCCGGCCCCATTTAAGGTCCAACGTGCTTCCTCGTTTTAGCTAATGGTTTGATCTCATCAATTACCACTTCCACTGGCCTGTCTCTTTGGTTTTCCATGAACCCTGCCTGGTTCTAATTAGCGTAGCACCCGAAGGAGTCTCATGACTCCACTACGACGTACCACACTTATGCGCTGTAATGAACCTTCCTCCACCATCACTGGGATCTCAAAACCACACGTCTCCACTACCACACATATCCTAAAGCACCTTGGATGGTCATGTCTTGATAATTGCTTCCTTCTTCACTTATCAGATGATTTCTCTTCCTTTGGATGGTCTGATATGTCAGCGGTCCAGCAAGCACCAATTACAGTCAAGCGTTTTCTCGGTTTCTAGTAGAAAGGACTGCATTTTTAAACCCGTCACAAGTGTTATATATTATATATTGCAATGTCTCCACCAGTGTTGAGGAAGCTACTTTAAAAATCTAGCTTCCAAAGCTACTCATATTTTAAATTAGTTAAATTACAGTGAAAATACCCTATTGAAAGTATAGATATCTACACTGAAGATTACTAAAAGTTGTTAACTACAGTGAATCTATTTATAAAGGACAGATATGACAGTTTTTCTGGCACAAAGGATCTCAATTAGGATAACCTTGTTTAAATTTTTATTAAAATACTGTAATTTAAACATCCTGATTCAAAAATATGATGAACAGCAGAACTTAGCTAAATATTTGACTACATTAGCTCTAAATCCATATAAAATGAATTGATCCTTCCAGTCCTACATGTAAGTCAGGGAATCGTTTTATAACTAGATGAACTGATTGACATCAGATTTGACATTAGAAAAATGTTAGTATCATTGCTGCTTTTCACTGACCATACAACTGAGAAATGCACCTCATACTACTTATTTGACAAACTAGCACTGTGAAACATGGTGAATCTTAATGTAGGACACACAGCGTCACTCTTCTCTGTTTTATGTGTATTGTGTGTTTGTGTTTGTGTCGACCTGTCTGTCTCTGTACACAGCTTTTGTTGTCTTTGCTCTTGTCTGTCTGTCTCATGTGAGTCTACTCTGTTGTCTTCCTGCTGCTCTCAAGCCAAGTGACCAATGAGATCCCAGAGTAAGTAACCCGGAGACATTCTGGGGTGGATTTGATTAAGTGAAACTAACCTTTTCAAAGACAAACCACTGACTTAACCCAACATAAGGCTTTCTTTTTTTTCCTTGCATTGCCATTTACATCACATTCAAAAAAAAAATACAGGGCTCATCTATTTTTCCAGGAAAGGTGCATTTTCATCAGAAACCAGTTTCAGAAATGCATGTTTGGCATGAATGATGATGAGCATTGTGATACTCTGATAGATTCCCACAGGAACCATGCATGGAAATACCTGAACCGACTTTGGAAATACGTCTGTGTGTATTCTTATGTTAAAAAATAATGAAGCCCCTTTTAACTGCAAGTTTTATTTAACTTTTTGAAGCACGATATGTATCAATATTTAGTTGGTATTTACAGCTGGGTTTAAATGGCATTTTGCCGCCCCATTAGGGAAATGTTCAATCTGTTATAGTGTTCCTTTTAGTGATTCTTATTTTAAAGTATTTGTTTCCTTCTGAATGTAATTAAGTGTCTAAGTGGCTGCACTGAGCCCTTAAAAAGCTGGCAGCTTGATTAAATGGAATTATGTTATATATTATGCTCATGAAAAGTTCCTGCCAGGCTTTTAAGCCACGTCATTTTGTTTGTCAAATCGCTCCCAGTGATTTCTAATAATTGTGCCCAAGGATGAAAGCAAATGTGGCACATTAATCAAGGATTTGTCTCTCAAAACCGGATGTAATTAAAGAGGCTTCGTCCAGTAGAGAAAGCGAGCCACCGCTGGCATCAATAACGGTTAGGGACAAGGCCCTCTTCATTGACTTTCACTATTCTTGGGGTTTAATGCATGTCACTTCCTGTACAAATGAAGTGTCAGATTAAAATTAATCTCAACCAAGAAAGCTGACCAGCCCTTCAAAATGAGTGTCATCAATTTAGCTTGATCTGGTTTTGAACAGAGCCCTTAAAGTTAATGAATTCCTCAGAGGACGCCGGCATAGTGGCGCCACATCTGTGGGAGTAGAGTCATATTTCTGTTAGTATTTACTGTGCTCTTCATCTGTCTTTATTCTCTCTCTTTAGCTCAGCAGCCTTGGATCAATCTCCGTTTTGTCTTTGTCTTGTCTGTGTCTTTATTCGTGGTGTCACTTGTCTTTCTCCTGTTTACACGTTACCTGATTTAGCAAACAAGTCCCCACACACTTGCTATCCTGTATCACAAATGCGATCTCGCTTTCTCAAATAATGGCTCTCTTGATGCCACAATTGCAGGTACACCACTGAGAACAAAGGAATTGTTGTAAAAATAGCTGCTTTTTTTCTGTGGCGTATCTGTGGGTGCTTGCAATGGGGCAGAACGTGAGGTGTGTTGGATTAAATCGGCTCCCCGTTGGCCTGAACAATGACACCGTCCTCCCCGAGGACGGGCAGATGTCACCTTCTCTATGCCTTACAAGGGAGTGCTGCATCCAGGGAACCAGATCAAAACACACATCAGACGGCAGCTGATATGGGCTTCCTTCCTTAGCGCTCCCTGCGCAGGAAGAGAAAATCTAGAGCTTGAAGGCAGATTAGGAAGTGTTAACTTGGAGATAACCTAAAGTGTGTCACCAGCCCTCTCACACATACACGTGTTCGAAAGGCCCTTCCCCCATCAGCGTGGCCTAGTTTACCTAGTTTCATACAGACCCACAACTGTTCAGTCTGCTCATTAGTTTATCAAACCCTTACTGGGTTTTTGACTATCAAAGTTACGTTTTCACTCATAATTCTATCACTGTTGTTGATAAAATAGCAGGTAAGTAAGGGTTTCATGCACGTCCTGTGGTTTACACGGCGTCTCTGAAACGGCAATGGATTTGTGACAGCATTTCCTGTCTCTTTGATGTAGTGAGAAGGCCCTGCTGGTGAATAAATTTGAACTGAGCATCAGGACTGAGTCTACTCATGGTCTGATTTTGTGGAACGGGAAGGGAGTGGAGCGTTCCGACTACATCGCCCTCGCCATTGTGGACGGCCGTGTGCAGATGACCTATGACCTCGGCTCCAAGCCTGTTGTGCTGCACTCCTCTGTACGGGTCAACACCAACCGCTGGATACGAATCAAGGCCAGCAGGTAAAACCCCAAGAGTTTTTCCATCATTGCCTCAGGTTTGACATAGAGTAGTTTTAGACATTTACAGGGCTCAACAGTTAGAAATTTGTCTACTTGCCGAGCCAACAACTTTATTGGCCCCCAATAACAGTTATTCATTTTAAATTATAAAAATTTGTTTAGAATTCTGAATGTTCCAATGTAAAATGTATACTTTTTATTTATTATTTAATATTTATTATAAAATTATTTTTAAGAATATACAGTACCATTCAAAAGTTTGGGGTTGGTAAGTGTTTTTAATGTTTTTTCATCTCTTATGCTCACCAAGGCTTCATTTATTTGATCAAAAATACTCTAAAATAATATAACTAAAATAATATAACTCTTTTCTGTTTTAATCTATTTTAAAATGAATTTATTTCTCTGATGGTAAAGCTGAATTTTCAGCATCATTACTCCAGTCTTCAGTGTCCCATGATCCGTCAGAAATCATTCTAATATGCTGATTTGGTGCTCAAGAAACATTTCTTATTATTATCAATGTTAAAAACAGTTGCTGTTTAATATTTATGACACTATCATAGATTTTTCAGGATTCTTTTATGAACAGAATGTTCAAAGAAGACCATTTATTTGAAATAGAAATCAGTAATATTACAAATGTCTTTTCTGTCACTTTTGAACAATTTAATGCATCTGCTGAATAACAGTATTCATTTCTTAAAAAAAAAAAATCTTACTGACGCCCTAACTTTAAAATAGAAGTGTATAAATGTATTTTTAATTCAAATATTTAGTTTTCTTTGGTTAAAATTAGAAACCTGCCATAATTTCAGAAATGCTTGAAAAATGCTGCAAAATAATACACAGCAAAACATACTGATTGTTTTATAATTTTTCAACCAATTCTTACTGACACTACAGTACCATGTCTATTATTCTTTCATTTCAACAAAGCCTTATTTATAAACAATTTTACCTAGCTGGTACGTTTATACAAGGCATAGAAATGCATATACAGTACATAATAATAAAAAAAGTAAATAATGAAGTTTTGTCAACTTTCCCAAAATTCCCTCACACTGACCCTGGTACAGCTGACCGTCCTTATTATTGAACCCTGTTTTATATATGACACAATTTGCCATAGAATGACGGACATTTATATTTATCACAGTTTTGCCATAGAAATGTTTGCCAGCAGTGGCAGTCATTTATATTTGCCTCAGGTGTGCCATAGAGGTGTTTGCCAGTAATGACAGACAATTATATTTACCAAAAAATTTGCTATAGACATTTCCCAATAGTGGCATGTTGTCCAAAGCTTGCTGCAGGTTTATGACTACAAGTGAAAAGCTGCAATCTTGTTTTCCCTTATGACTACAATTTAATTTGCCACTAATTTAGTACATATTAACTGCAAGTTTGCCAGAAGGCCAGTCTTCAGGAAATGTGAGGGAAAATCACATTTTCAGTGTTAATGCTGAGCTGTGACTCGCCATCTTCCTGTACTTCTCTATTCTCCACAGAGCGCTCAGAGATGGCTCGCTGCAGGTTGGTAATGAGGCAGCTGTCACTGGGTCATCACCCTTGGCTGCCACACAGCTGGACACAGACGGCGCTCTCTGGTTGGGTAAGTCCCTCTTACGCCGCTTTGCTCAATCGTAGCTCATTTACAAACCGTATACATAAACCTGCTCCGACACACCGAATATCAAGAGTCCCAACACTTAGCTTGTAATGTCTAATTGGATCTTCCCCCACAGTGAGTGCTTTTGAAGAGCTACACCTCTTGTTACCCCTTAGCATCACTCAAAAACGTCTATGTTAAGACTCAATATTACCTAATTATGTTTAATTAATAATTCCAGGATGAGTCTTTACTATAGGGTGTTTTAAAAACTCTAATGTCCCAGTGTTTGCCTTCTCTTTCTCTTTTGACAAACCTATAAAGATTAAAAAGGATGATTTATTCCATTTTAAGGGTGCAAAATCTTCTTATAAGGTTGCAAAAAGTATTTCAGCACAGGCCAGCCAGTAGAGCAGGTGCTGTGGATGCCCGGTGGCTAGAATACATTATCCTCAGACAGCCCGAACATCAAGAGCTCCCTCTGAAAATCCCTTCTTTCAAATGTCATTATTTATTTACTTATTCAGATGTAATTCACTTGAAATTAGCCCTGTCAATTCTACCGTTGCAAGCATACAATCCAATTAAAGGGGAAACACGCGGGGAGGCGAAAGGAAGAGAGAGAACTGGGTGAAACGTGAGCGAACTGCAACAGGGGGAGACATTTTCGCCCGTGCTCAAGAGCAGGAGACGGAGCTGGATTTTCAACAGTGTCAGGTCCCCGAGGGAGGCGAGCGTAACTCTTACTCAGAAAGCTGTCAGGGAACGTCCCCAGAGCCTGGCCTCCCAAAAACACTGTTTGATCTTCTCACCTGTTCCTGAGTGTTGTGTCTATATCTTTCTACATTCTGACACCCCCACCTTACACCTTCAGTGTCTCAGGCGTGATTAAGTTTTTAACAGTCTTCTACTCAGGGTTTCCATAAGCCACAGACTCTTCATCAGCCTTTAATAATGTATAGTGATGTAGCTTGCCTGCATGGCGGGTAATATCTCAGGTTACATTAAGATATTACCCGTCATGCAGGCAAGCTACAGGTCATACTATAGGTCAGTGATCTATACTGTACAGTACAAGTGTCCATGGTAAAAAAGAAAAAATTGTTGTAATTGTAAAAATATGTAATATCTTTTTGAAAAGACATTTTTTTTAAGTTCTTTGTGTACTTTGTGTTCATGTTGGTTTCATGGGGTTTTGAAAACTGTTTATAGAATTTTAAAGAAAAATATACATTTGATGACTCTTAGAATTGCATAGGGAGTAACCAACAAGTAAAAGATGAAAGCAGTTGTGTATACCCATCTTTAAAAATCTAGATTAAAGGCATTACTTATAAATATCATGAATTATTAATTCACAAGAAAAAAAAATGTGTGTGTGTGTGTATATACAGTGTATATATATATATATATGTGTGTGTGTGTGTGTGTGTGTGTGTGTGTGTGTAACTTGCTAAAGCTTTTCTTGCTAAAATTTAATTCTTTTAATGAGGCTTTTTGCTCCATTTTGATATCAGGATAGGTGTATCACCCTGACATTTTTTTACTTTATGCCCCCCAAAAATATCAATATTAAATAATTCAGAAATGAAAAAAAAACATGCTCATCATAGAAAAGGTGTATTTCTGAAAAAGTAAAAGGAGTATCATCGTCTTATATCCAATGTGATGGCATGCATTTCTTACAACCTCTTGTGTGTTTTAAGTGATTAGATGGCTGTTTATACCAATTTCGTGATGTCCTCTACTAATTGAATGGTTTATTCAGGTTTATTGTGTGAATATAAAGTGCTGTGCAGTATATCATGTACACTTGATCTGATCATGTCCATTCCTCTCGTCTTCAGGTGGTCTGGAGGAGCTGTCCGTAGCTCGCCGGTTGCACAAGGCTTACAGCACAGGCTTTGTCGGCTGCGTGAAAGACATGATAGTCGACGGGGTGCAACTACATCTGGTTGAGGACGCCTTAAACAGTCCCAAAATATTACACTGTTCTGCCAAATAGTCTGGCACCACGTTCCTCCCAACACCATGTCTACTGCTGTAATTATTTTTATATTTTTGTATACTTTTCTTTGCCTTTTATATTGGAAAAAAATACATTGTTTTAATTATAATTTTGTTTTTTGTTTTGTTTTGTTTTCCCCGTCATTGCGTCCAACCATAATTATGTCACCAGTCAGCGAACATGGTGTTACAAGACAAGCAAAAAGTCGTATTACATCTGTCCTGTTTCTATGACAAACAACTGAACATGTACTTGCTCATTACTTGAACAGTGGCAGATGAGGTTGGTGCTGTTTGTGCCATCTGGATTGCCTTCTCTCGGTGCCATAGCTTGCTGTCCAGCAGTCACCATATATTCCTCTGAGCTATTGCTGTGGTCCATTACTACATTTAAAAAGGTCTAAAAAAATGACTTTCCTCTTTATCGACACCACAGCAACTGTTAAATACACTGAGCAAGACTATGTACGATATTCCTCATTTATGATACCACTAACAAGGGCGAAAGCTCAAAACTTGGAGCTTTTGAATCCTGAAATAATAGTAGCTGACGTAACATTTAGCATTCCTCAAAATTCACTAGTTTTTTTCCTCATGCAAGCATCATTGACCTGTGAGATGTAATAAATAGTAATGAAATACACGAGACTGTGAATTTTGAAGATGCTATTTTTTGTTGCAATCATTCGTTTCATGTGTTGTGCATATCTAAAGAGCAATTACATATATATATATAAATATACTATATGACCATTTGTTGCATGCATCTTTTTAAGTGTTGAGTTGATTTTGCCTTGGTTTTCTTGATCTTCATCATTCCATTCAGGGCAGAAATGTAGCTGACTACATTGCAATCTCGACATTTGAACATTCAAGTTGGGAGATATTGAAATTTTATATATATATTATTATATCTGCTATTTGTCAATCTGGACTTCTTGTGTGTTGTGTGTGTGTTGGGAAAAAAATGGTTGTTGCAAAAACTCAACATTGGGAGGCGCTGTAACACAGAAAGAGAAGAGATGAGAGACTCAAAACACATCGGGTGGACAAAAACAGCATTGACATCCTTGGCATGTTCCGTCATCGAACACAAATCATGTATTCACTGCATTTTTTTTTTTTTTTATCGTATATCAGTTGAAAATGTCGCTTTAAAAAGCTGCCAGCACTTGCTGTAAAAAAGGGATGATGTATGTAGACCCCTTGCATTCTATGACCGTGGCCCCCATAACAGCTGTTCATGTTCAACGGTAACCAGTGAAAATAGTAATGCATGGGTTTGTCAAATCAAAATGGTTTTTGTAACCTGTTCCAAGACAAATGCAATGCTGTGGTGCTGTTTCGGTGTAAGAAATATGAGTTTGATACCAGATGCTTTGCAATATTCCACTACAAATATGCCTGTTCAGGGTAAAGTATCACCATATCTTTTTTTTTTTTTAATGATTATTTTTTGTCATTTTATTTAAAAAATGTTTAACAAACCCTGGAACATGCAAGACCATAATTGTCATCATGTACAGCCCTGTGATTTTTCAAGTATAAATTTGTTACTGAGATTTTGTTTTAGTATTATACACTGGAAGCGAGTCTGACTTGTCTACACACGGCATATCCTGAGTGCGGGGTGGGATTGGGGGAAAATCGATCATTTATGTGTCTAGGGTTTGATCGGCCATCATGAGATGTCTAGTGTTCCAGACTGAGACCAAGAGCCCTTTGTTACTGCACGAGCTGTATGGACCATCCACCCCTTTTAATATAGCGCCCTCACCTTCACTTTTCCAGCGGACTGGATTTTTGATCGCTTTTATATTAATCTGAGTTATTTTTTGACATCCTCGTCCAGTAGCTTTGCTCTCAAGGGATGAGGCTCATGGTGAGGAAATTTGCTCTGTGAATGGAAACTGAGAAATGCCTTAAAATCATTCACCGTTCATAGGTGACAAAAATTTATTTCCATATTGTTCTGTGCTCTCACTTTAGCCAGTATATACGCCTCATTCCCATCATGTAAATTATTTCATAAATGTTAATAATTATATTAATAATGCTTATGAGAATTTCCAGAAGGCCTCAATAATAGTGGTCCTGGACTCTACAAAAATACTGTTTACTGTACAAATACTATTTTCAGTATCTTATTTATGTCTTAAAAAGGATTCTCCGTGTGGCATTTGTAAACTACTGATTTGATTGATTGATTGATTGATTGATTGATTGATTGATTGATTGAACTAGGTCTGATGGGCTGTGCACAGAATGAGAGGCATGACGTTACCATTACTAACTTTATTACTTGTGTCTTGTGTTCCAACCACCATAAAATAAAATGTGAAACAAACTGACCTGACTTTCTGTAACATTTACTCCTGATAATGTCTGTGAATAAATCCTTCCCGTTCCTAAATTATCTAATCCAGAGTCTCCCTAGTGTTATATTATATATTATATTATATTACAGATCAAAAGTTTGGGATTGGTAAGATTTTTTTGTTTGTTTTGTTTTTGAAAGACGTCTCATGTTCACCACTGCTGCATTTATTTAATAAAAATACAGTAAAACAGCACCATTGTGAAATATTACAATTTAAAATAACTGCTCTCTATTTTAATATATTTTCAATTTAAACTTTTTCCTGTGATGACAATGTCTTTACTGTCTATTTTTAGCCACTTTTTAACCATTAATGCATCCTTCCTGAATAAAAGTTGCACCCTTCCTGAATAAATCCTGAATAAATTTTATA